AGGAGGCCTGTAGTTCTCTCGCCTCCCCCTGCAGTTAGCACTAAGCAGACTCAGAGTCACTGTGACACTCGAGTCTGGCAGCAACTACCTTACCCTTTTTAATTATTTTAAAAATTCTTTTCTTTTCCTCATGACACTGGTGAGGCACCATCTCCCCTGACTGCACGTCCCTGGTTAGAACTATCTTTGTCACCTCCCAGTTTTAAACTGCCTGGTCAGGAGAAACAATAGCAATATCACTTAAACTCGCCACATCACATTGCCCTCGTATGATGTATAACAACACTTCCTCCCTTTGTGGAGCTGGGGTGGGTGTGGCCTGAGTGTGACACATCCGGTCCACGGGCCGCCAGTTCGACACCCCTGGCTTAGTCCTTAGACTCATATATTGCTTCACAGTGCTGTTCTGCTGTCCTGATTTTGAACGCAAAATCCCGAAGCAGACTCTTTGTCCCGACAAAACCCCTTTTTTATTAAGCTAATGTGAATTCCTCTCATTCACATCCAGCAAAAGTCCCGGCAAACAGTTTTTCAAGGGTGAATTGACAACCACAGACCTTATCAGGCTTGGAGAGCTGCCAGGCCGATATCTTCCAAACGCAACGCGGTACAAGAAAATACTTGGCAAGGAGTCTCTGGGAGTCACGAACAAATCTTCACACTAATTAAGCGAACGAATTGTCTCCTGCAAACTCCACTCCCCTTTTGCCCCTCTCTATTCCCTATGGGAGGGGCCACTCCCCATCCACCTGTGCCTTTATTCCCAAAGTGGCTCAGTGGCACTGAGCTTGTCAGTAAAGAAAGTTTGGCAGTTCATGGTTCGAATCCCTAGTACAGGTCTCCTGCATGAGCAGGGGGGTTGGACTAGATGACCTCCACAAGTCCCTTCCAATCCTTTTACTGTTTATTGAGTCGGCCTTTGTTCCTTAACTGTTCCCTTCTCCTGGAAGCTCTGTGCATGCATGCATACATCGGGAACAGGTTCCAACTGTTCTTCTGCCCCACTGATATCTGACTCGGAAGGCAGCTGATAACTGTCAGAAGGCCCTGGCCCCCTCTCTGCCTCCGACACAGAGCCCTCATTGAAGAATCCGGGACCGGCCCATGTTCCTCCCAAACCTCCTCACTTTCTGAGTTTGCCACCAGCTCCACTGACGGGCCACAACCCTAACCCTAACCCACAACAAGTAGTTTACAGCCCTCTCTAAGCAGATTACAGAGCCAGCATATTGCCCCCAACAATCCCCTGAGATATTGGAAGACTGCTATCATGTCTCCCCTAGTCCTTCTTTTCACTAAACTAGACATCCCCAGTTCCTGCAACCGTTCTTCATCTGTTTTAGCCTCCAGTCCCCTAATCATCTTTGTTGCTCTTCTCTGCACTCTTTCCAGAGTCTCCACATCGTGGCAACCAAAACTGAATGCCGTATTCCAAGGGTGGCCTTACCAAGGCATTATAAAGTGGCATTAACCCTTCACGTGACCTTGATTCTATCCCTCTGTTTATGTATCTTAACAACCGTTAAGTGACAACCGCAGCAACGCACTTAACAACAGGGTCAAAAAATAAAATAATAATTGTACAACGGGGCACTATTCACTTAACTGTCTTGCTTAGCAATGGAAATTTTGGTCTCAATTGTGGTTGTAAGTTGAGGATCACCTACACTGCCTACAAATTTTGAACTTCAGACTTGTTGCGATGAGATGACTATAGAGAGTGAAGCCAAGTTATCAGCCAATGCTGATACGTTGTTTTGTTTTTTTAAATAAAACAGGCATGTCCAGAGTCTTGATACACCCATTTAAACGCATCTCTTCTTCAGCGATGGCTGCAACAATGGGGCGAAGGGATATTTGCATTTCATTTAAGGGAACATAGCTCTTCCTCCTCCTTCCAACTGTTCCCACATAAGATTAAGGTGAATGGACGGCCTCTGGAAATGATTGAAGCCAGAACTCTCCAGTACAAACTGCTTGAACCAGTACTTCTTTTGGGCAAAGAGGGCTTTGCAGGAGTTGACATAAGAGTCCGTGTGAAGGGTGGTGGTCATGTGGCTCAGATATACGCAATTCGGCAATCTATTTCCAAAGAACGGGTGGCTTATTACCAGAAATATGTTGATGAAGCTTCTAAGAAGGAAATAAAGGATATCCTCACCCAGTATGATAGGACCTTGTTAGTTGCTGATCCTCGACGTTGTGAGTCCAAGAAGTTTGGTGGACCTGGTGCTCGTGGACGTTACCAAAAATCCTGTCGTTAAAAAGAAACTTTTGTCTATTTGAAATAAAGGATAAAATTTAATTTTAAAAAAATGTGAGGTTATCATGACAGACATTCAGGGTCATATAACACATAAAGCAAGGTAATATTGTGAAATAAGTATTTGTCAGTTTAATTATCACCACCCCCATACTTGGATAATCTCGGCCTGTCATCAAAAAATGTTTTTTTTAAAAAAAAATTCCTTTCCCTGCAGGCTGGATCATGTAATAATTCATGTTGGATCAATGAGCTTACCTGAATCCAAGGATCTGGTGAGTGTGTCTTTGCACTGTTCTTTTTGTGTCTATCTGTGTTGCTTTTTGCACAGCAGAATACTGAGGGCAAGGAGAAAAAAATTTCTAAACAAGGGGCGTTATTCCCAAATATAGCAATAGCAGTTAGACTTATATACCGCTTCATAGGGCTTTCAGCCCTCTCTAAGTGGTTTACAGAGTCAGCATATCGCTCCCACAGTCTGGGTCCTCATTTCACCCACCTCGGAAGGATGGAAGGCTGAGTCAACCTTGAGCCGGTGAGATTTGAACCGCTGAACTGCAGATAACAGTCAACTGTAGTGGCCTGCAGTGCTGCACTCTACCCACTGCGCCACCTTGGCTCAAATATGGTCTGAGAGATCCAAAAGGGAGCCAATTTGATTATCGCCGTAGTTGTTGGCCTTTCCATGTAAAACGAGATAGGAAACTTAAGGCTTCATTAACGGAATTTTGCAAGTTTAAAGGCACAATACTCCCCCCACCAGTGGTGGGTTTCAAATAATTTAACAACCGGTTCTCTGTCCTAATGACCAGGTGGGTAGGTGGGACTTAGTGGTCATGTGACCATGTGGGCGCAGCCAACTCAACATTACTCAGGTCGATGAGCACTTTGCCTTAGCTATTACAATGTAATAAGGGTTAACCGGAGAGGCAGTTTCTGTAAGGAGGGCAATAAAGATTAAGCTAGAAACAACACCAGAATGTTTCCTTCCTGCCTTCCTTACAGGATTAGCCCTGTAAAGCGGGAAAAAACCAAAAGAAGATTTCTTCCAACAATCGGTTCTCTGAACCTCTTGGGAAGTTAAGAATCGGTTCTCCCGAATAGGTGCGAACTGGCTGAATCCCACCACTGTCCCCCACCATTTTTAACTATGTCATCAATCAGGATGCGTTCTCCCTACGTTATTTCTTCTTGTGACTGTTAAGCCACTGGGGAGCTTATACTGTCTGATACCAGCAACTCCTATTGTCATTCTAACTGTTTAGCATTTCTCATTTTCAGCATTATTTATTTGACAATAGCCATATCAATATCTCCCTTCAGTTCATTTCCTTTCTTCATTTCCAGGCCAAGCACGCAGCCCAGATAGGAGCGGATGGCATATCTGTCATTTCCCCTTTTTTCTTCAAACAGGTGACTAAAGGTGAATAGTTCGTTACATTTAACCAAATTGTTTTCCCCGCTTGTCGGGGGAAACCTGTCAGCCGGGTTTCATAAACGCATACGCGTGTAAATTAAAGTAAAGATGGATGGGCAATCTTTTGGTTAGAGGTTTGGGCTCATATTAAAAGATTCTGCAAATGTTTTGAATTGAAAACAGCACCATTATTCAGGTGAAGCTCCAAGCTCTGCAGAGAAAGCTGTTTGGGGAGTCCATAAGCTGTTCACAGCTGTGATAAGATATCGGAAATGGTAGTTGTTTTAACAAAACCAGCTCTTTAGCTGACTGCTGTTTCCAACCTATAATTTTCCCTCCAGGTTCCTCAAAATGCACACAAGCAGAGCTGTGTGTGTGTGTTCTTTTTGGTGAGTGTGTAAGAAAAAAAAGATGAATATAGCATTGCATTCAGATGGTATATGAACAGCCCATATCTTGTGAAATCTCAGCCGCCAGATGAGGTTTGCAGAAAAGAAGAAATAGATCTTTGGAGTTCCTTGATGACAAAAGGCAAGATGGGCATGCTGAGTTTCTGCAAATTAAGAGTGATTTGCACAGAAAAGTCCAGCTTTTATCATTCTATCCCTTTCATTTCAAACGGGCTAAAGAAGATTCCATGAGAATCTTTGCTTGGGAAAGAATTACTTTTTTGTTTGAGGCTTCTACTAAAGAGCCTGCCAAGATATGAACATTCAAGGAAAAGCTTAAATGTTTTCCGTTCTTATTCATCCTAGACACATGCCTGAATATTTACAAGCAGTAAAGAGACGTATGGTTTAATTGATAAGTTGAAGGACGCTGTCCTTGATGAAAGCCCAAACTAATGCTTTTCCTTTTGTTCTCCCCATTTTCAGCTGTATATTTACAATTATTCTATGCTCCACATTGATTCCCTTGTCCTTCTTTAGATGAATTGGTTGCCTTCTTCCGGGATGTTGCATCTCAAGCTCCTAATATCCCATTCTATTATTATCACATTCCTCCAATCACTGGCATGAAATGTAAGTGCTACAAATGCAGAAATCCGAGTTTATTTCAAAATAACCTGGGTTATAAGCAGTTCTGTTTTATTTATTCAGTTTACATTCTAAATTTCCGTAACTCCATTTTCACTGTCTCGAATTTTTAAACCACGTCTAAAAGTAATGTTCCTTTAAGACTGCTATTCTATGCTACTTTTGTTCCAAAGAAACTTTCTTGGAACATACTAGAATTGATTTATTGGTAAAGGTAGAGAATAAGACACTTCAAAATAATGTAGTACAGGTCATCCTTGACTTACAACAGTTTATTTAAGGACTGTTCAAAGTTATAAAGGCACTGAAAAAAGGGACTTAAGACCGTTTTTCACACTTACAACTGTTGCGGGATCCCCATAGTAACATGATCAAAATTCAGACGCTTAGCAACTGACTCATAGTTATGACCGTTGCAGTGTCCCGGGGTCATGTGATCACATTTTGTGACCTTCTGACAAGCAGTTGGGGAAGCAAGATTCGCTCCGGCCCTATGGAATGAGCTGCCCCCAGAGATCCGGGCCCTGCCCACTCTCATGGCCTTTCGCAAAGC